CCCTTTCATTCGTGGCCTACTCACACAATCCTCTTTTTTCTACACCGTGTTCAGCACCATTCAGTGCACAATTCACACAGCATGTCTGCTGCTCCCCCTTGTAACTGGCACTTTGCAATACAAAATATATGTAAGGATATCAAACAGCGTAAGGAAATGAGCCCTAATGACTGAGCTACACCATGAAAGATTACAGTTTTCAGCCATGGGTAATTGGGATATATAGGGGCAATATCCTGCATCATACATACACATTATCCCATACTTAGCCTCCTCACCTCACTAATTTTCTGAGCTACACCTAAGCGTGGAACCTCTAGCCTGTGCTAGCAGGAGCTTTCATTCCTGATGGAAACACCCTGGCCAAAATGGACAGAGATCAAAGGCAAGGTCCAACTGAAAAATTAGCAACTGCTCCTTCAGGTTGAAGCTAAAGAGATAGACAAACAAGTTACCACCCTTAGGTACCAGTAATGGCAAGATAACATTTCCAGCAAAGAAAATCATAAGCAGGAGTGGCTAAGCCTCCTTTGCAAATGACAGCTAACAGTGCAGGAAGGACTCAGTTCTCTTCTGGGCTTCTTTTGGCTACAGAGATTAACATCCAGAGACAGCTTGACTATGGAGGTGTTTTTTAACCTGCAACTGACAGTCATTCCACATTTTCCCCTATCCTTAATTATGGCTTCTCTAGGAAAATGCTACCAAACTTACATGACAAATTTGAGTGAGTGTAACAATTGCAGCTATAAAGCCATATCTCACTATGTTAATTAAGCAATTTTTTTTCTAAGAAAAGCCTCTTAGGGAACAAGTTAGATACTTCACTGTAATTGTTAGTGTACTGGCAAATTAGAATAAATTAGATTTGTTATCAAAGGCTCAGTAGTAGAGAGCTGTCAATACTCTCTGGTCAGCTAAGTAATTCCTGCACAAAGTCATTATTGAGGGAATGGTCAAGGCTCCTCCACCTCCTCCCCATCTTGTTTGTTATAATGACTGCCTGCTACCTTTTTGTAATCTATCTTGTGCAAAAGCTAGGCTGTTGGCTTACCACTCAAATTTCAACAAGACAAGTAGCCTGCTTTTCATCTGATCCTTGTCCTTTGACTTACCTCACTCAGCCAACCAACAGTTAAAATTTCCATCAGTACAGCTGAATGAGTCATTTCACACAAACAATCCACATCTTTAAAGGGCAGTCACCAGACAGGGAGATAAAACAACATAATTTTACCTTAGCCAAAGAGAATTACTGCTGATACCTACTGGGAATATGAATAATATAACTGGGAATAAGAATAATCTGAATGTAATAGAAATCTGACAATAGCATATAAAATAATGTCAATGTGCAATCTGAAGAAAACTAGCAATTGAAAGGAATGATTCCAGGCTATCAGGGGATGCCTTAAGAGTCCCACAAGCATGTGAAAATGGTGACTTGTTTATGGGTTATCACCTACTACAGGTAAAGATCATCAAGCATTTTGGACAGTATCTGGCAGCCCACGCTCAAGCTAGCTCAATTTGAAAGACAGGACTCATGAATAGAAACTTATGCTCATTACCAAGTTGTATTTACTCTTTGGAGGAGAAGGGAACTAGGGGATAGAGGGCAATAATCCAACTGATGTATATTTTCATGAGATCTGCTGCTCTGTCAGGACAAGACACTCAGCACTCAAATACAGCTATTGCATAGTTAGTATGTAATACCAAAAGCACCAGTTTAGCTGAAAAAAAAACCAAAAAGCAGGTAAAGGAGAGGAGAACTAATTATGCTGTGGGAAAAAATATGTAAGTGCAGTAAAAACAATGCAAAATGAATAGGCTTGAAATTTTAGATATGGAAATTGATGATTCAGAACTGAAATTTAGATCACACTCTGTTTCTGATAGCATTTAAATGTTTTAAGCCTGGGTACCACTATGATGGCAGATGTTGGATTTATCACATATTTGATGGTTAACTATCAATAGAGTTATTTTTGCTAAAACAAATATCTATTCTATAATCACCCATCTCTCAAGTATGAAATTTCCAAGAAGTAGGAATATCTTGAATGAAATTTGTTTGCCATAGCAGGTAAACAGCAATGCAGAAGATTTCTTGCACAAATTCTTAACAGGAGCATTACATTATGAATATTATTATTGTCTTGTAGCTAATGTTTGTACCTAAAAATCTTGGACAAGTCTGCCTAAAACCTAGGTGTGTACTGTAAAAATTAGGACATGTCGCACCTTCCTTCATTTTAAATGAGTGATACTCTTCTAATTGCAGAAGAACAGAATTTATGCATCCAAAAGAGGATTGATTCAAATCAATGGCAGCTTATCCATTGATTTCAATGGGTTTCAATTCAAATCCTGCCTGAATTTGGAAGCACAGACCCAGGCTGTCACCTAACCGTATAAGAAATGTTGTCACAATCTAAAGCCAAGGCAGAAGACGAGATGCAAAAAGTAAACATCATGAGTGGCTTTGGAATTTTTTTATCTATAAATGTCAAAAGGACAAACATACTCAAGAAAAATAACAATAATCGCATATTAGTGTCACTTTGGAATAGGACCTACTAATTTATGCTTTCTCCCCTACAAAATAATTCATCCTCTGTGAGTGTAAAGTAACTGATTTTATAAATTCTAAGCCCACAGCAACACCTAAAGTCTCAAGAATAGCACAAAATCTACAAATGCTGATGAGACAAAGTGATTTTTTTTCCAGTCCTGCCATGCAATGCCTATTATTGCCTATGTAATTTTCCATACAGAAAATAGTCTCTGAATCTATCCCAATCCATCTTTACATGAGGTAGAACTGTAGAGAAAGAGTAGATGAAAAGCCATAGTACATCTTTTACTTATTGCAATTCCTTTAGAAGGCATAAATGACGCAAGGAGGAAAGCAATACTGGAAAGTTCTGAAAATATTTTTTCTACACATGTAGGCTGGAATAGGTGTGGTTTGACTTTGTAGCTGTATTTAAAACCGGAAACAGACAAGGACAAGGGTAGTTACCAGGCATGAAGGCTGGAGACCTACCATGGAAACAAAGAGAACCTTTAGGAAATCACTGATATACTCCAATAATCTTGTCAAAGATGATCAGATAACTGGACATGTGTACTGTGAAAGAGAGTAAAAAGTATATGGGCCATAATTATTCTTTGGCAATGAGTTTGCTTCTTCCAGAATTAGTACTAATCCTTGATGACAAACTGTTGAAACTGATCCAGACATTCTCCTAGAAATTTGGAAAACTCTCATTGGTAAAATATTCAGGCTGGTTTTCATATTCATCCCAGTTTCCTATCTGCTTCAGGTGTTTTCACATAATATGAAAATAAAAAACCACAAGGAAACACAGAAAAGAATATTTTAATTTTGTTAGTTTCCTTTTGACTTGCCCTGGTTATTCCTGAGGAACTTGTAATCATTGCTATTCTAATTCTGATTTCAGAAAAGCAGTGGTTTGGGAAACACAGTGTAGAATGTCAATGCTACCAATGACGGCACAAGGGCAGATCTTTCGTTTCCTGAATAAGCACAGATACACTGAATACTTCCATGGAAATTTCTTGATTTAAATTGCTGATCCGTTAACTCCTACATTAACTCACAAACAGCATTGTGTTTCAATCATGAATAAAAGGATTTTTTAATATACTTTGAGAAACCTCTGGATCTGAAGAAAATATTAATGTAGAAAACATTTTCTTGTGTTGTTTTGGAAGACATTAGGATGTCAGATTAAAGGACATGTAATTAGTTATTCAGCATGCTATATTGGTAAGACAATAGAGACATACATATAACCAGTATCATCTCCCTGGTTTTACAGAAGTACAAAGATTTCTTTAAATGTGATTCTGCCTTATATGTATCAGCATTCCCCCTAATAGTGGAAGAAATTTTGAATAGTGTTCCTACTTAATTAATATGATTAATGATTTTGCAAGTCATTATTTGGTCAATGTTAAATGAGACAAAATAGTGTGATCAAGGAAGTTGGTGGAAAATACGTTAATTCAGGGTTTAGCCCAGAAATCAAAGCAGTAGTCATGCTAAGAAAAAGGTGGAAAACTCATGAAGTATGTGATATGGAGTATATAAAATACAAAATTTCTGTCTCCCTTGTTCCTTGCATCTATAACAGAGATCAAAAGACAGAAAACCAGACTTGTTTTTCTTTTACTGTCTGTCTTGATGCCTTCCTGTTGCTCTTTTCTCCTAAGCTTTTAAATTGTAATTACTTAGAGTAAACTTTTTAATGATTTTTTGCATGTTCTTCTAAAGTTATCAGCATACATGGATTGCCAATACAATTATAGGCCAGCAAGAAGAATGCTATCCTACCTGCAACACAGGAACTGAGAAAGCAAATGAGATATTTTCATGCTTTATGCATCCATTTCTCTCAGTGCTTTTAGTGCTTCTACATTGCCTGAGGAAATGGTCATTATGGCTCTTCTCTCAGTCTCTGTATGAACCAGCTGCAGTCTGGGGTTCTTTGGCAGACGATCTGAAGTCAATCTATGTCTACTGAAATAAATGGATGTGGACTTATTAGGTTCCTGTAGCTTTTGGACAGATGACTAATAATCCTGACAGCTTGGCTGTTAATTTTTTAATTAGCGATAAACCCTGTATTATGTAGCGGAGTAACAGAGGATCCAGCTGTATTGCTGCTTTTCAATCAGGTTGTGCAGTAACAGGATTAACTAACTCTTTGAGAAATACTTGCTCTACTGGTATACATATGGTTAGCCAGGTGTCCCACAGCTTTAAAATAATATTCAATGAACCTTCTCTTTTTTGCAGCACTGCCTTCATGGGGGCTGAACCACCCAAAGAGAAGAATGCCATCAGAACTCCAGGAAGACAAATATCTCTGCTTTTATCTTTCTCCCAGCCCTAAGCTTTGGTTGATTCTAGATAAATCCTAATCTCTGAAGGTTTCTTATGCACAGGTTTTTGCTTTCTTTTACAGATACATGGCCATTATTGATCCCTTGAAACCTAGGCTCTCTGCAACTGCTACCAAGGTGGTCATTGGGAGCATATGGATTTTGGCTTTCCTGTTGGCCTTTCCCCAGTGCCTATACTCCATAACCAAGGTGATGCCTGGAAGAACTCTTTGCTATGTAGCGTGGCCAGGTGGTCCAAAACAGCATTTTACGTAAGCTTTTGTTCTTCTAAACTTGTGCGTGGTGGTGTCTACACTTGCAATGGACTTGGCAAAAGCTGTTGAATATCATGCCGATACTCTACATGCAGAATAACTAACAAACAGCATTGATCACTGAGAAACGTAAAGCAGGTTTTCTAAGCTAGGAGGATAGAACATTTTAAGTGATAAGTGGAACACATTTATTCTTTTCCACTTCTATGAGTGTTCTCTATCCCATGCTGCATGTTTACCTTCCTTGCTTCACTTAAGGTGGCTACTTCTACACAGACAGAGATGGTCAAAAATGGAGACAGAACATGCAATTCAAAGAAAGCTTCCTTTTCATCCTAACCAGGAAAAGAAGTATTTCCAGCCTCTCCTTGTCCTAATCAGATTTTTTTCTCTGGATCTCTTCATGAGAGTGTTGGATTTTCCCACTTCATTCTATTACACTATCACAATTACTAATCTTGGATATCAGTCCAAATAAGAAAACTGTAAAACCTCTAACTGGTTCCAGTTTCTGAAAGTGTAGAATAACAGTCATCTGAATTGAATATATCCTATTTGTCCCTCTGGCAGAATTAGGAAGAAGTGGTTACCTAGCCATAGGAACATTATCTGTCCTTTCACGTCTTCATTGGCATTTAAGATGAACCCTGTGTTCAAGGCTGAAAACCCGAGTAACAACCCAGGATTAAATTTGGCATTTTGCGCTCTTTCAGGCAGCTGAAAGAGGCCCTGGTCATATATAATTTTTATCACTTTAGGAGACATGCACAGATATTTCTCTTTAGGGGAGTAAGGTCACTCTCAGAGATGGCTGGGAATTCTTCACTGATCATTCACTGGGTTTTTATCTGAAGACAGCATTTAACCAGGAACTAACAGGAGGCAGAAGAAGTTATCTTTTTTTTCCCAGTACTTACATCAGCAGCAGTGACTATGTTGCACACAGGCAACAGGTCTGCGTTGCCTATGTGCAACCAATCTGCCATATGAAGTACATTGGGTAACACAGGACACTCATCAGAGCCTTTGTATAAATATACCATTTAAATACTTATTTTCCTCTTTCATTTATGGTCCAGACTAGAGATCAAAATGCCTAGCTTGCCCTTAGGATACTTGGCTGTGCAATAATTAAATCAGTTCAGCTAGTTATGGACAAACATACCTTATTCTGCAGTGACTAATCGTAACTATAGAGTCATTCTTAATTTATGTTAGTGCAAGTTCAGAATCAGAACTAGAAACCCCATAAAGCACTTGCACTAAAATGTAAATAAATTTGTAGTGCAATTCAAGGCTTTCAAAAAGACAGTGAAAATACCAAGGACTAGCCAGTAAAGATAAAACACACTTTGTGCTAAAGTAGCACTCTTGACTTCTAGCAGCTCATTCCATTGGTATAGCTCCTCTGAAAGCACTTAATAGCTTAATGCTTTTTCACTGCAGGTATCATGTCATTGTGATTGTGCTGGTCTACTGCTTTCCGCTGCTTGTCATGGGCATCACTTATTCCATAGTGGGAATTAGTCTCTGGGGAGGAGAAATACCAGGCGACACGTCCGACAAATATCACGAGCAGCTCAAAGCTAAGAGAAAGGTACTGTTCCATTAAATCTCACTATGTGAATCCTGATAACATCATCTGCAATTATGTTGCAAAGTATCACAGTGTGTATCGCAGTTCAGAAACACCAAGTCACTTGAAATATCAGTAATGAGAGATCTACTTCAACAAAAAGTTTGAAAAGTTTGACAAGTTGTCTTCTATGTTCACTAGCTGTTCTTTTTGTAACTTTACTGTTCATCATTAAATAAAGATAACATTTGGATTTTAACTTCTTACTCTACATGTAGCAGCATATAGTGTGCCTGATACATGGAAACTAAGCCCAAATGTTTAGCCTTTACAGAGCTAAAATACTGAGTTTTGAACAATGGGCTAGCGAAATGTTAGCTCCTCTTAGGCTGGATCCTCATCCTACTGAAAGAAAAGTGAATCCTGCTGTAATTTCCAGGAGATTAAGGCCCATGCATCTTTGAGATGAGTGCTGATCAGCCTGTTCGTGTTGAACAATTTAGGTTTTAAATCAGTAACATTTGGTGAGAAGTACAAACTATTTTTTTCCCAGTTATTTTCTTTCAATCTTTTTCACTGTAAGTATTGCCTAATCTAACAAGACTGTGGACTGCTTATGAACTGATTATTTAACTAGTTATAGTTATTTCCAGTTCAGTTTTCATGATGTTGCAGTGCCATGAAGATTTCTTTCTTACAACATTCTTTTTTCTTAACCTAACTTGTCTTCCTTAATAAGGCAACCCTTCTGCTTTTTATTTCTTACATTTTTTTTCATACTAAAATGCTTTTAGCCTTTTGGATTTGAAAAAATGGTACCCAAACATGGACTTCTAACTCGCAATGATGAGCACATTTTCAATTGCTCAGTTTGCTTTTGATACTGTGAATATGTTTGAACAACGGTATATGCTACCATGCTGTAGCAATAGCAGAGTGCAGCATATTGGGTCCTGAGACAATTGAAGATCTTCTGCAAATACTGGAGAACACTGATGTTTCCACTTCATTCAGGACACTGCCAGGCATATGAAAGTGTTTTTTCCCCACATACTACACGGAAAAAGTTGTTATGGCAGAGGATATATGAAAGGAAAGATTAGGATCATTTTCTCATTCAGGCGCATGAGAGACAAGTGCAAATCTTTCTATGGCAAATTTCAGTTGTCAGAATGGTAGACATGCCTAGACAGCTTTCTGGTATGATGTGCAATGCCTCCTATGAAACCAAAGGTGTTATTTATTTTTGCTTTTACATAGCTTTTTTAAGAGGCCAAAATGCTAGCTTCTCTTAAGGAAGCAAAATGCAGTTTGACTAGTATTATCACTGCCTTGTAACAGTTCAAAGATTATTTGGAATGTGAACAGAGAGAAAATGATGAAGAATCATCATGGGAAACTAACGACTATGTTTTGCATATTTGCCCCAAAGTGAAATTATTGGACTAATTTCCAGAAATGCTGAAAGCATTTTAAAAGATCAGCATTTCCCTCTTTAACATTATCCATAGAAGTCCAACATTACCATTACAGTCTTTGCCATGCATGTTGTCATTTACCCAAATGTGTATTTTCAAAGTTATGAAATTACCTTTCCTACAGAGCATAAGCAGAAAAAGATTTCACTGGTCAATTAACTGTGCTATTACCAATACTGCCCTTTCAGCTAGTGAAAAAAAGGGCACTTCACTCAGTGAAGTGTGCCCGGGGTTTGATTGTAAAGACAAACCAAGGAATCACTTTCTGTAATAGACATGGTTTGCAAAAGCAAGTGTGGAAAGAAAATTTTTAAAAGCTAACTTGAAGAACCAGGAGATCCCAGAACTTCAGCACCTGTTATCATAATGACTAAGTAAAATAAACATCTTATGTCATAAAAACTAAAGGTCTCTGAAGATAAAATCTGACTTTTGCTATACGCTATCAAGGGTCCAATTAAATCCCTTGAATACTTTAAAAACAGCACCTCTTTAGAACTCTAAATATATGCAAGAGACAAGAAGTAGCATCCTTAATTAGAGGATTTTATATGTGAGAGTACTGGAATGCATGCCTTCAACACATGCAACAAGGGGATTAAATTATGTGCAGATATATTGTAGCTGCATCAGTGACTTTATTGGCAGAGTTCCATGACAGCTCTTCAGTTCCACTGCTGTGCTCTCCGGCAGGATTTATGAAATAACTGGTATTTGGAAAGATGAATCATAATTGATCATTCATGGAGATGAACTAATAGACTGGAATCCAAATAAAGCTATCACTCAGCCTGCCTCTGAGAACAGAGCTATTGCTTTTCCCTTATTCAAACAAAGAAATCATCTGTTTTTGTTGCTATTTAGCGTGCAGATATCTAGACATATGGGAAGTCTGTGCACTTGTAATGAGGGCGAAATATAAAATAGCTGACTGCGTGTTTCATATTATGCAATGATACAGTGCAAAGGATGTTTGATTAGGATTGTTTGAAAGAGTATGTAATGTTAAGAAGGTAGTGAACAGTTCATGTAAGGACTTTAAAAGAAACTATGTTTGCCAAGAAAAGATTTGAAGCTTGAGAAAGTTGTTAGTAGTTTGATAGATAGTCTCATCACTTCGTATGTGTGACTTTGCAATGCACCCTGAATTCTTCTGAAAGCAACATCAAAGAACAAAGGATTCAAAGAATTTCACAGTATGCACTACAGGTTGGGCAACACAAAGTCATACTTAGTATCTTTGAGGGTCAAAGACTTGAAATTTTTAGAAATTCAGGACTGCATGAGACTACTACCACTACTTTTTTTTTTTTTTTGTCAGATCAAATGTCTCAGGGGCTGACCCATTTAAATTTGCCTGACATCAGTCTTTTGAATTTCTGAACATTCACTACATGTGGGGACTTTACAGCCATTACCCCTTCTTCTTAAAGCTCCTGGCATGAGACTGACTGATGTTCAGCTGAACATAATTTATTCTCCTGCAGTTCCCATTTTCACAAGACAGAATTATAGCTTCAATACTGTCATACATAACTGAAGTTTATGTAGGTGGCTTATAATGTTACTACCAGTTTTACTAGGCCAAAGTGTTCTTTATATTCAATGCAAATACTTAGAGACTTGCTCTCAGATGTTGTCTCCACACCCTGTTTTTTCTATCTATCTAACCTGTTCCAATCCCTCTTCCAACTTTACTTAACCTGTAAGAGGGGATAATCATGTACTGTAAACAAAATCAGTTAGTGTTGTCTTTGTCAAGAGATGCAGTTCTGATACAACTGTCTGAAAAAAATAGTGTTTCTCTCATCAGAAGATGCCACTGCCTTGTCCCAATAGGAAGAATAGAGAAGAACAGAAAATATTCTCCTTAACTTTTATATCTTTTCTTTACAGTTGCCCTTACCTCTAACTACTAACTTTATGATAATATGTCCCTGTGCATCTTTTCCAGCAATTTTCATGATTCCTCAATACTTATGCCTCTGCCTGTATTCTTTGCTTCTCCTAACACAGCTTCAGGTGTCATCTCAACTTCTTACTGCAATGAAGAATGATTAAAAGCCACATTTGTCCAATATCAAAACTTGCAAATTTGCACGTAAAACCAGAAGAAAACTCCATATGTTTGCTAGTGACTCACAGTATTACAGGAATCAATAAAATGATGGTCAGGCTTACCAGCCTAACTACATAAGAAAATTTTCAAAGTTATATAGATACATATATTTTGACAGCGAAAGTAGGCATCCCATATTAATTTACAGTCAAATACATCTATTTAATTAGTTACTACACTATATGCAACACATTGGAGGAGACAATGAAAAAGTAGGAAACTTAAGGCTCGGGTCTGAAAAGAAAAGACTATTCAAACCAATGTGGGACTGTTGGAAGAATGATGTCATGAGAACCACTTCTGAATATGAATTTGAAATATTACATAGTGTGAGGAGCCAAATCAAGTAAGACAGCAGGACACATTTTTCCAAGTCAGAATCAGAACGGTTACATGTAAATTCAAAAATCACTCAAAATTACCGTATGAAAAGCTTTTACTAGATAAACAGATGATTATCCAGGTGAAGTCTTAAAAGACTACAAGTAAATATTACAAAAAAGCATGCCAACAACTTTAAATAATTTTCTTAAATACTTGCATGAAATATTTCCCTCTTTCATAGACTACGGAAGTAAGCAACAGGACAGGATCTGAACAAATGGTCTTTGTAAGATCTACTGCATGAACACTTCACACGTAGCCACTTGCACGTATTATGTATTTCTCTGTTTTGCTCTTTTTTTTTTTTTTTTTAATGGATTTAGAGGAAGTCCAAAGAAGGGCAACTAAAATGATCAAAGGTCTTATGAAGAGATTAAAATGGCCTGGACTTCTCAGTTGGGAAAGAAGGAGGCCAAGGGATGAGATGATCAAGGTTTACAGAATCACAAAGGTGGTAGATAAAGTGACTGAAGAACTGTTGTCACCAAATCCTGATATACAAGAACTAATAGGATAGCAGTTTAAAGCAGGTAGAAGAAAGAGAACTTTAAGAGAGGGTAATTTAGTGTTGGTAGAGCTTCTGAGAGTCTCTCCTGTCAGATGCTATGATCTCAGAAGGTTCAGAAAGGGATTAGGCAAATTAACAGGCAATAAATTCATAAATAGATACTGAAAGGATGAATCAGGAATGCACCCCTCTCTAATACAATTTTGGATGCTGGAGCAGTATTAGGAAAATAGAAGATGGAAAATGGCCAGGTTAGGGGGATCTCCCTAAACAGCACCTCCTACTGCCACTGTCAGAAACAGAATAGTAGGACAGATGGACAACTGTCTGACCCAGGAGGAATTGTCCTATGTCCTTATGTTCCTTTTTTACATAGCAGTACAGATGTAAAAATATAGTTCAGCATGCTATTCCTGACATCTCACTGACTTTCAGTGCAACTAAAAAGGCAGATTTTCCTTTTTTCTTTTGTTTTTTTTTTAACCACATATGAATACATGACATGAAATCAAATTAATATACATTTTATACT